CGTAGTGAGAAAGAGTAGATGGTTAGATATCCAGAATATGGTTAGATAAAGTAGAAAGAAAAGGTTTATGTGAGGGAATACCGCAACTTAAGATTTAGAAGATAATAAGTGAATTGAACTGCGCCATTATGATTGACTTCAAGCTATTTTACCCAACGTATCCAACTACTGGTTGCAGTTATCGCGCGGAGACCAACCAAGTAGTCTTCACCCAATAACATGGCTCAAACTAATAATCAATGACACTTTGGTTCGCTCGCTCCTAGCTTTCTGCCGACCGATTCCTACGTCAGACAACATTTAGGGAAGGCGGCCGTTAGGAATACGTAATAAATGCCCCAACCACCTTAGTAGATGAAGATTCACAGCCTCATTACATATCTTATCACTTTGTTGTTCTAACTTATACGACCAACGGTTCTAAGACACTAGTGGTGGCTGGGTGGTTAGACTATTGGACTTCTAACTACTAGGTCGCAGGTTCAAGTCTTGTTGGACCTGTCTGGGTTTGGACAGTCAGGTAGTATCACTTTTACATAAACCGTAGCTCAAAGCATCAGGCAAATGAATTTGTACTTAGTGAGTTACGTGAGATCAAAAACCTACAGTCTATACACACCTTTTACAAGGTATAGGACTCGGTTTAGAATATAGATTATTGATTTCCAGCTCAGTGATTCAATATTATTTCACTTATTATGGTTAACATAGACATCTCTTGTGAACTTTATGCGTGTGTGGAATTGTGTTGATATTCACTTCCAAGGAGTCTTAAATAAGGACAAAAACACTATTTCCAAACTATAAGGTAATTACAAAACAATTCATGTAGATTACATATCGATTTACTAAGGACTAATTTCATCATTACATCAGTTAGAAAGTGATCGCAGTAAGACAGTATAAACAATCAACCGAAAAACAGTCGTGAAAAGAATGGTAATAATTTCACTAGATCTTTTTTCGTATAATCGTATAAACAATTGAAGGCATATCTATTTAACTTAATACATGATAATTAGCATACAAAGATAGCAGATTGACTTAACGGATATGCATATTAATCATGTTGCCTGGTGAAGTGGTGTTATAAACGCAATTGACCTCGACAATTACAAATACAATAGATTTACAACCAAATAAAATGCCTAGCATACACTTCCGATATTCAGACTGTGTCAACTTATTATGTGTAGTGGTACGATTTTTGGGACTGGTAGTTGAAAGCACACTCATTGTATTGGCAATTTAGAAGTGTGTGTGTAATTGTTTCTTTTTGTGTAAAACAACGGCAAAATTGATCTGCTTTTTAATCTAATCTGATACTAGTAATATTAGTTATTACTCTTCGTTCCGGTTTAAAATGTTTGGATGCTACCTACTCAACATGTTACTATAATTATTCAAAATATCGACCTGAATATTACACATTTTGCCCCCAAGTTCCCTGGTACGGTCGGAGGCGGGAAAAGTCAGCTCTTCCTCTCGAAATTCTCTCACATAGTCACATATATACAGCCACTGTCAGAAAAGTCCTATTCATAGCCTTCTCGTGGTGCAGGTGTTCTTTACGAAATTGAGAGAACGAAAAGCGAATATCCGACACTTTAACCGGGTTGGTGGATATGGAGAATCTATCTAGACGAGTTGGTAAACCCTGATTCCAAACGAATGGTGCACATGGGCTCCAGGATCCTGACAGAACAAATGGTGTATGAACCCAATGGTTGATCACCGGCTATCATATGGCTGCATTTCCTAACGTTGATCCACTGACTTGTGGATTAGATATGTAGGTCAAAGGCTCGAGGAGTGGCCTTCTAATGAAGCCAATTGCTTCGATTTGGGCGCTCGTGCAGTACGCTAGCCCTCACGCAATTCGAGTGACGGGGTGCTGAGCATGTATATTTGGTGACTCTTTATATCAATGTTTATGTGTTTAAACAAATAAATAAATTTACACATTCTATACAGGTGATACGGTAGTTTTATAGTTATAATGCATTTGACCTTCAACCATTAGGCTGCGGATTCATACTTCACCTCTTCCCGCTTACTTTGTTTTGAATAGTTGCACAGTACTGTCATTAGCCCAAGTAAGAATAGTTTAATTCAATACCGAGTATATAAACCTATACTTGACAATATGAATCCTGTTACACTACTTATGTATAGGGTTAATGAGAACACCCATATAACTGTTCCAAACAAATATAAGTCGGAAAAAAAGGATTCAAACATCTCTACTATGAGTCAATAACATAATATCATGATTAATAATAAAATTTGTTGATTTCACATAATTTATGTGTTCTCTGTTAATTCTTATTATTTAATCAGATTAATCGTTAAACAGAAGATATGATTAGTATAATCTATCATTGTACAAGCTTATTGGATTTACATACATTTATTGATATGTTGTTTGACTAGTCAAATTGCAAGACATGAGACACAATTATTTAAAAGTAGTTTTATTGCTTTCTTTTGATCATTTTTGAGTTTTCCCTTATTCCTTCTGCTTTTATGATATAATGATTGACGAAGATTAGTAATAATAATAATAATAATAATAATAATAATAATAATAATAATAATAATAATAATAATAATAATAATAATAATAAAGTTCTAATTTTCGCTGAAGGGTACTTCAAATTATTTTTGAAAGGAAGAATAAGAATAGGTAATTGTATTACAGAATAATAAATGAATGAAATAAGATAATTCAGTCGATATTCTAAAGTTGAATCATTAAGACCTTTAAAAACTGGATTCAGTATTGTACTGTTGGGTATTTTCAACAGAAAATATTTCAGTTATTCTTTTAAGTTGTTTGTAAAGTTATTTTTAAAAGCGATACCTAAAGAAGATAGTTGAAACCTCTGAGTTTTGTATTGACTAACTGTGAAGCAGTGGTTTAATGGTTCGATATTCAATCACTAAGTGCCCAAGGTTAAAAGCCTGCCCCACTTACTTTAGTTTGGGCAATCGGGCAGTATCATTAGCCCCTCACACTTACAGTGTGTCTTATATCCAAGTACTTGGTGAACAAGTTAGTTTGTTTTGGTCATGATTCAACGCAATTCGTTGATCTTCATATTTGGATGTCAGTATACATAAAACAAAACAAAATGGGTTGAGTTATATCAATCGATACATTATCTATCTAAAGGCTATGTATTGCATACACGCCTGTAGCACTGGAAAGAACGGGATTAAACAAGAAAACAAAGTATAGTTTATTTAGCTGACATTTTGTTTAAAAAACACTAAAGAAAAGTTAAATGGGACTATCATTATCCTCTGTTGTAAACCATGTTCAATAACTAACGACTTTGTAAGTATCAATACCAAGGTTAGACTTGATAGTTTCATATAAATTAAGCAATGGGTAGAGTAAGTAATAAATACATTCTTAATATTTTAATTTAACAGTTGAAGCTAGACCACCATGGAAAACCTGGAAGCACTGGGTGGCCGTCTCGTTCTAGTATAGGACTCCTCAGTAGTGCGCATCCACGACGAAACGACCGTTCAGTGCTTCCAGGTTTTCCATGGTGGTCTAGCCTCAATTGACTCATGATCTCAACCATTAAATTACTAGAATATTCACGCAAATTCTCTCTGATTATAATCATCATATGCTCACTAGCGACGGTCTCCAAGAGGTAATTACTGGAGTTCTAGTGAGAAGCCGTGACCTATGGAGTTAAACCGGGTCTGTTGTGAGATAGTAACTCACTAAAGACAATGGTAGACGGTGGTGCAATTTCGTGGATTGGTTGAAGTTAGACATTAACACCGTTGGATGCCAGCTCAGTGGTCTGGAGGTTAAGCGTTCGCGCATGAGATCGATAGGTCCTGGGTTCGAATCCCGCGAGGCGGGATCGTAGATGCGCACCACTGAGGAGTCCCATACTAAGACGAAACGGCCGTCCAGTGCTTCCAAGTTTTCCATGGTGATTCAGCTTCAATTGACTCATGAATCCAACTATTAAATCACTATAATATCCACAAAACCACTCTCTAAATATATCTTTTGTTATTATCCCCATGAGTAGAAATAAAAATTTTTCTACTCACAGGGATATGACAAAAAATATTTATTGACATGTTCAATAACGTTCAGAGAGAATGAATTGCACAATTTCTAGGACTCCTATTGAAGGTCTGATGAATTAACAAATTTAACCAAGTATTTGACCATTAACTAGCCATTTTTCTTTTTCATATAATTCAATGTCTGTAAAGTGTACCGTATGAAATTATAGAATGTAAGCCACCGAAGACTTTATTTGAACATAGTATTATTCACTTGGAAATAATTTTTGTTGTACTTAAACACATATTGTTAGCACGTAGCATAACTTATGTAGTCTTGACAATGGATGAAACTTGTTCCCTATAGATAACAATGATCAAATACAAACAACGAATATTCCCCATTGTTGAGAAGTTGAATTTTGAAAACAAACTGTAGAGCTGACAGCGCCAATGAGTTGTGTACTCTATCTTTTATGGTTAAACTTATGATTTGAAAGATGAGCCATATCAGTATCCACTGATATTCATTTTATTATACATTGGTTTATTTCATTTTTCACTCAGCTATCTAGATGCATAAACCTCTTAACTAATCCCAACAGATCATCGCAAAGAGTGAACATACACGCAGATCCCCATTGGTCTATTAGAAGTAGTTTACGCTTCGTTACTCCACAGTACATGCAACACGTATAAACAATATTTATCAACTAAGTACCTATACCTTGATCTATAAGTCAGTGATTACAAAATTAAACAATGTGATGAACACATGAAAGATCTGGAATCCCTTCTTTAAGTAACAAATCGACATTCCCATCAAGCATTTCTTTTAGATCTATTTCCAGAAAATAATCTAGGCCAAAATTACAGCAGACTTTATGAAAGTAACTTGCAATTAAAAAGAACAAGTGCTACCAAACTAATTTAAATAACGATCATAAATGAATTACCTTTCCATAACTTCCTCGCCCGATTGTAGAACCAAGCAGAAAACGATTGGCTAATACTTTAGGTGGTTTACTTCTATGTATGTATGACATACACAACGGGCTACTTAAATCAGTTGGATTGTATTCTGTTACGCCATGTGGTAGTCCACCACGTTTTAGTGTATCATCATGAGATAACTGCCTCAGCTTTAATGGTTTGAGAAAGAAAAAAGCAGAGTAAATATTACTATTCTTATTATCAATGTGAAGAAGACAATTTCAAGGGAATTTAACTATGCACCAGATTACAGATTTACATATTTGTTATATAAAAGACAATCATAACCAACCAATTAAGTTGAGGTACTTAAAGCGTTTCAGAAATTATAATCCAGTGATTATTTATTGGTTACTTTAATTGCTAGATAAACACTGGTCATGTAAAATATTAATAGCGTAGTAGAACGGTAGCTGAATAGTCGCAGTATACGGGTTTTAGTGTCGATTTGCCGGCTCGGACCTTGCTCCTTTACTTAAATCTAAGCAACTATGTTGCATCACTACATCTTACGCATTATACTTATTTTTAGAATATTTCTAGAAATGTATTTGACCCTAAATAAGTGTGTATCAATCCGATTTGCGATGCAACAAATCAACACAATAAAGGTGAATGGGAAGGATAAAAACCAAATGAACTTGAATAATCATTTCAAATACATTAGAAAACAAATTAAGTAGCATTTCTCTAAATAGAACAGTCGAAATCGGTGGATGAACACTATTAGGTGAAGACTGTATACGGTTACTTAAATAATGTACAACCTATATTATATCACTAAGGATCACCAACTACTCGACTATAGATTTAGTCAAGATGCAGTAGTGAAGTTTGTGCACCAGGATGATCTGATTGAGTAACACTACCTTAGACAATTGTTCCTTTAGATACCGTCATACTAAAAGGGTTGGTTGAAATACTTCAAAACATAGATAGGTCCATTCCAGATACAAGGGTGAAGTCATACTACTGACTGTAACACTGTGAAATTTTCTCGTCTCTTAAATTTCTTCTAAAATTTGTCAGGCAGGGCGAGACTATAATTTATGGACGAATCATAGTCCCGAAGCCTCATACTAAATTACGAACGTTCTTGCCTCTACTAAATATGTGAATACTCTTAAGGTACATTAGCACTGCTCAAAAATCGTCCAGAAATTTGTCTCACCGATATACATGCTGTTAGCATCACCAGTATATAAAACTTAAAACCACCACTGTGTGAAAAGCAAAACTCCCAACGAGTTACCTGAGATTCATCATCTTGACATGGTTTAGAATCAGAATAAGAATTAACGAGCAAACGATATCGTTCAAGAATTTTCAGGTCATCATCTGCATTATCACCGTAGAAAGCTTCCATAGGACTAATCTCATCACGCAGCATAGGAGAACTGCCCTCCTTCACCTCGTTACTCTGTGTTTGGATTTTACTGTCCTCTGTAGATATAGTACTCTGCCTTTCATCAATGAGATTTGAGGATTGGTAAGAAAGTGGTTCGGCCATTTCTTCGAAGAAATTTGCAAAAACTCCGGATCCACCAGCAAGATTTTGGCGAGAATGACTGGCCGAGTTTTGGTTTTCAATACTAGATGCAGATACATCTTGAAATGTGTCTTTTAACTCATGAGTCATATGATCGTCTAACTTTAGCATTTATTTGTATTGATGGGCAGAATGGTCAACTTTAAGTACCATGTACGCATATGAAGCAAGACTGATGTCGTTTTACCGAAGAATTCTGTCAGCTAGATTTGACGGAGAGTAAAGAATTAACTAGATTTCTAACATACAGTCCATTTGTTCTACATAACGTAGCGCAGTCACCAGAAAGCCCGGGTCGGTATTGAATATCTAATATCTTCTTGACAGACTTGAGTAAACTTATTAGTTTTTTGTGCTCTCCTCTCGTGGTTTTGACACAGTTTCAAGTTTCTGCCGATAAGATTCAAAGTACAGAGTCATATGATCCATCTATGAATAAAAGTGCAAGAGCCCATGTTATTTATAACTTCATATGCATCTGCATGTGTTCAGATTTCCGTTAAATTGACCAGTTGACAGTAATGACATGACTTCCATCGTCTATAAAGAATAAACTTACCCAGAGCTCACTTCAATGGAAAATGTTTTGAACAAAAACTATTTCAACGAAGGAATACATGTGTTTGTTGAATTCTAGAATCCTGGATCTTGAGAACTTACTATATGATGCTTAGCAGTAGCTCACAAGACAATCTTGGGATCCCAAGGTTGTGCCAACTAAAAGAGTAGTTGAACTAGCTAAAACAGATCGGCAGTCTTTGTAGTGGTCAACTAAACTCACCCCCCCCCACATTGCAAGTGCTCGCGCCCACACTTGTTACACTCTGGTCAAGCGGATGTCAGGTGACTTTTGAGAATTACATAGATTTGGAAGAGGCACAGGATAACAGCATCCAGCACGATAGAAATGAACCAGAATTATCAGTTTGCCAGTGAACTGTTTAGAATAAATCCTTGACACTACCACTCACCTGTTTTTCTTTAAGTAGAATTTATTAGCTTAAGTTAATTAGTTAAGAGTCGACCCCAAACGACTAAGTATATGCCAAAACAATAGAGCTCATGTTTCAATTCACTGTTTTAGATATGCTGATTTCATTTCCTCACCCTCGTTTCTCTTACAAGCTCTGGCAACCATATAGAGGGCATGTAGTAAACCGTCAGCGGTAGTCGCAGAAGAAATTGAGTGCTATAAGACTGCAAGCCAACAGATGAAGAGACATCCATGGACTATCGTCGAATAACGACGGAGTCGGTCGCCATTGATTGGAAGCCAAACACTGAGCGAGTTGATAATTATCCTTTGGGCTGTAGAAACAGAACGTATATGTCCGTGATAGATAGGTTGATTGAGCAGACGTTCCTACAGAACACGATTCTGGGAGGAAGGTAGTGTAAGAGCTTAGGTTGACTAGTTGAAAGTCGACCTCAAATGACTAAGTGTATTTCGAAACTATAAAGCTCAAGTATTCATTCATTTCTTTACTTTTTAAAGACATTATATTTCCCATTATCTCATACTGAATGTTGAAAAGCTTTTTGTGTATGATCAGACAATCCACGGCTCCACGGCGACTGCCACGCGATCTAAATAAAGACCTATTCAATACTGGTCTGGGATCTTCTATCAGAGAACGAGGGTTACCTAAAGGCACGAAAGAATCACCTACTTCGAATGAACAACTCAAGTATACTCAGCAATATGATGAGTTACGCGGATTAAGTGGGGTAAATAATCTTCGTTCTTTTGGAATCTCCTTGAAGTAAATGTTACGAACTTCCTTAGGTCTGTGTAAACGCATCTGTGTGCATCTTCCTTGTATGTACTTTGTATGAAAACAAAGCATTGTTTAGCACCAAAGTTGACTTTGTTTTCTCAAATGTCCTCATTTTCGCGTGTCATAAATAATTTTTTATTCAAGTTGAGCTATTATTACTTTCTCAGTCCTTGATTTCGGTTTTGAATCATTTCCACGCCATTTTGTGGCATTCCGCCAACTGTCTTTGTTTTCACACGACTCAATCGTATATTTCAATCGTTGCGTAGCTGAATGATTGTGGTTGACTATCTGCGCTTAAGGGGCGACTTACTTTGTCCTTGAACTTCATAATAATATTCCTGGCTTTCCAGGAGCACGTGTAACAAAATGAATGCTTTTAAAAGTCATGATTTTCCCTGATTGTTTTATACATAATAACTGTTATTCAAGGCTTCTGTTGCCCTATACTAATATTTCTAAGTCTTTTAACTTAAAGTTTTATTATTCGACTCTGAACAATGCCGTTCTTGTTGTTATATGGTGCCAAACCGTTGACAATAAGGTTATTTTCCAGTAAACTCAAGGTTAGATAATGGTCAGAATGGTGAATATTGATCCGTAGTGACATTTGTCATTATTCACGAAACCCTTGAGAATGAACATAATATAACTAAGAAAACTTAAATCGGACGTTCAACACTCGAAGGTCGGAAAAGCCTACCCAGAAATACTAAATAGAATCGGTATTGTTCAACCATATGGTTTTGGTCACTCTACGTAACGTGTTGTTTTTGTTTCATACATGTTATTCCATTACTACTGTGAATGTATTCAGCAATGTTTCTTCAAAAAAATTCCACTAACTTACATGATATGGTGAGACAGTACGGACAATGACTTAGTCGTAAAATATTATAGGTTAGGTAGTCATATTATGCCAAGTCTGTAATGTTGGACTAAGTGTAATATTTCCGTGGCATAGATAATTTCACTAATAGAGCCGTAAACCTAGATCATACAGATCTTTGATTATAACGGTTTATCGAATCCATGCACAAAGATATGTTTTATCACACTTTGTTAGAAATACACTTACTGACTCTCAAGTATCAGACGCTTATTTGCTAACCGCTCGATCTGCTGTTTAGTACACTAGTTTGTACCAGAGCGACCTTTGACTGTATAGCGCAAGCTGATCATTTTGAGGCACTTTGCATTTCAATATAATTTTTACATGAAGTTAGATCCGCTTAAATCGAGGGCAGAGCCTGCGTATTGATATAATTAAAAACGAGTGACTCAAGAAGGATTTGTATGTTACGAAGAAGAAGGCAGTTCGACTTTATCGAATGAACCTTAGTTCGTTAGCTTTTCATTCAGACTAATAATAATACTTTATTCTCAAATAACAATGTTTTGCAAAAAAATATGCCAGTTTACAGGCAAGATCAATAAGTTGTAAATGCTTGGGGATTTGTTATAATGGATTATTCAGTTAGGTTGAAACGTTGTATGACACAATGATAATAAGAACAGGAGGATAATGTTTCGTAAATTAGAATATGAAAGTTAATGAGGCCCTAATTTTCAGAATACGTTTTTGAGGATTCTTCGCGATAAGCAAATAGTGATTGAGAAAGCATGCAAATGTAGTTCAGAGCTGTTTATAGCAAGAAGCAATGTGATGAATGCATGACAAGGCATTTTAAAACACCGACATTTACGCATTATTTTGTGTTTTTTGATGATGTTTCCAGATGAATGTCATAAGTATTAATGAAGGCGCAGAACGAAGTCATATGTTCCATACATAAGTTTTTGGGGGAATACCATCAGGTTGTTGGAAATGAGAGGGAGAAAAGAGAACAGACAATGTTCATTTCTGATGGAATAATTAAGAGATGACTGCCTGAGCTTATTTCATCTAGCCCATGTTCTGACGGACATGTGATGAAGTACTAACAGCTTTCTGTCCAAAATTAACGTGTTTACTACTATTTCAACGCAACACAACGAGTTTTGATAAAAATTCATATATATTTCAAGTTAAGCAATAAAAAAGTCGAGAAAATCTCCTTGTGACTAAGTAAACAGTATCAAACTTAACAAACTAACTGGGACACCAGTTGGAATTCTTCCTCCCCGTCGTTATAATTTTTTTCTTTAAGTCAGCTTATTAATTTAGGTGAGATTGGAAACGAACCCATTTGAACATAATAAAGACATATTACTCACTTCCCATGTATTAGACTAGGTAGTCACATCATGAAAAACCTGCGATTTTGAGATTATATCTATTATTGTAGCAGCAAGGATAAATGTACTAATATCGAATTAGACCATAATGCTACAGATCTACCATTACTCAAGCCAGCTGTCAAAAGCTCTGTAATCACCATAAGGTTATAGTCAGCAGGATGCTTCTTATAAGCCATTTGTAGTGATAAGGTCTAAGGACAAACCCCAGTGAAAGTGCAACAACGAGTCAACATCAGCCAGTGAGAATCTTAACACAGGTCAATCAATCTAACAACACTATTACTGGAAACTGATGTTTCAAAATCGTTCTTGCAATATATAAATAAGCTCAAAAAATTTCAGGGAAGCACATTTTATGTTTAAGACTAAAGCCAAAACAAGTGGAGGAAAAATTGTGACGAATGTTGAACAATCACAATAAAAAGTGAATTATCAGTATGGGGGTTGTGGAGATTGTTAGGTTTTTGATTGAGATCATGAATAAAATGATGTCATTCCAGGTTTCCAACGGTGGTCTAACATCAATTGATTCATGTTCTCAATCAAAAAACTGAATTAATGAACATTCAAAATCACAGTTTTTTAGCAAACGTTGTTGAAATTTTTGTCACAGTATTTGTGTGTAACTAAACATGGTCTATTTTTTATTATTTGCGGAATCGCAAGTTATTTTGTTTTACTGTTTCACGGTTGTTTTCGTTTGTAAGTGCTCTTTCAATAGGTCGGTTTCCGCATGAGAATCAAACATAGAATCAAGCATTCACCATTCACTGAATGCAGATATCGTACTGCATACATATCAACCTACGCAGCCTTCGCTTTTTTGCTCATAGCTTTTGTTACTCCATACTGGTTACAATCATGGCCTAGACTCCATACACCTTTTATCCGCTTAGGATTGTGGGAATTTTGTGTCAATGGTTTTGTACAACGTCTAGATCCCAATATGATTTCTTACTACGGTTGCTGGTGGATTCTTTCTCCGTATATGCGAAAAATATTCACGGATTTGGTTCCATGTACGTTTAACTTACCTAAGTATTCATCGTGAATCGGATTAATTTTAGTTTGGTTTTTGATCATCCAAGTTATGGTGACAGTATCTCTTTGTCTACAGATAGTAGCAGTGGTCACTCTTATTGCGTACATGTGTAAAAGGATTAGACATGTGGAACGTCAGTCGTTCTTTATCTCGTTAATTACATTCTGTCATTCTTGCTCAAGTAAGTTTGATTCAGATCTTTGGTCTTTTGTGACAGCAAATCATTCAGTATTTTTATGCCTACAAACTAGTTTCTCGCTTCTTTTGTTTTTAGTGCTTGAATGAAACGGTCAGTTTTCCCCATTTCTATTATGTTATTATAATTCGACCCAAATTTGGCTCATTCTTTTTTAGCTCAGTT